TTAAGCCTTAAAATACATCTAGACATATAATGTCTGGACAAATGCGAATACATATTTAAATAAAACACTTTGAATAGTTTAAAACGCGATTATTTTATAACAACAAATAAGTTAACTGCATATTTTAAGTACATAAGTCTCGTTTGTATTTTCTTAAATAAAATATAATATAGAAATCGAAAATAAATCGACATAAGTTTCGACTCGGGCAGGACTTGAACCGGCGTCGGCAGCGTTCCGTGCTATTGCTCTACCAATTGAGCTACCGAGACCTACACCTCATCGTCGAATTTTTTCAACTTATTGATATATGCATACTATCTCTGCATCATGCATCGACACTCTCGCGCAATGTAGTTAAATAAATAAGTAAACTATAATATTTCACGTATTAAACCGTTTAAAGTGTTTTAATTTCGTATTGCTTTATTAAAACCGAAAACTTTATGACCACGCCTAAAAACCTTTAAAAGATTTACATTAACACAATAGACACACAACAAAGTCGACCTTCTTTAAACTGTCGCAGAGTCGCCCACTCAGTCGAAACCCGTTCTAACAATATTGTAAAGCTTACGCAACGCCAAACAATTCACTTGCTAGGAAAACCCCGTATTACATAATACGTGGACACTTGTTAGAAATCCAGTTATACAATATTATCCGCGACGCATCTAAGTGAAGAGGCTGGGCCGAACGCCTGCTTAGAATACATAAAACCTCAAATACATTTCCCATTATAATTGAAAATGATAGTATCTTGTCATGAAGTGGGAATTAATTTTTATAACCGTCGCTAGTGTGATTGGAATGCCGTTAATTAAAATTTACGTGAAGATACAAACACTGTCCGAAGCTACGATTGTGTTTTTAATTAAGAGATTCGTTTGGTCGTGGCTTCCTATAGACGAAATAGGTAAAGCATCATAGTTATTTCAAATCATTACTGGCAAACTTCGTAATGGACTATGATTTTTTTTCAATGATAAAGGAGAACAGGATATGGGTTTCTCTTGACGTCCGTGGCTATAGGCGGCGACCTGTTTTGGCTTTGGATATTCGGAAATCCACAGATTGAAACCGAAACACGATTAATCTTCACGGCTTTTTCATCATCATCATGCATCGTCAACTATTTGTTTGTTTGAAAGATGTGGCTAGTAAATGAGGGTAGAAATACCGACGTCCATGGCACAAACTACCGTCCAAGGATGAAGTATCGTTAAGAATACAATGTATGAGATTCTGCAGTCCAAAATCAAAAGAGGTCGACAATGCATGTTGTATAGTTGGGTGATATTATCTTAGATCAAGTAATTTATATGAAATGATTAGCAGGAATGTATAAATTCCGTCCGGGTCACGAACCACCGTCCACAGATTAAAGGTTTAAGTCTGTAGATTTCGGAATATCGGACGCCAAAATATGTCCTCAGCCCGTCTTCTTTACATGCTATAGGCTGGGGTATAACACCTACCATCAAGTAAACTCCATGTTTGTCTATCCTTGTCTATAATTCAAAATTGAACATCTGTCCTTTTTTGCCATAAAAAACAACTCATTAAAATTTGGTTCAGTCACAAACAAACGCGGCAGTAACTTCGATTTATATTTGAAATCCTCGCCTCGGTATCGGCCCTTCCTACTTATTATGCGTCAAAGATATCTTCAATGCGACCTTATTATACATTTATTCGATATAACATCCCGCAATTTGTCACGTAACCAACAAGCGGTTTAAACGCTCATAAATTCCGTTTATTTTTCATTCGAGACAGGTAATTTTAATGCATATTTAATGGACAATTTTTGGCTTCAAATTCACTAAGATAAGGTAGGGCTATAATGCATGCAGCTTGCCCCTCTATTATTTATCGTGTGATTTTTGGCAACGAGCGTTAGTCCGCTACTTGGCTTGGCTAGATGCACAATCTTCATAATGCAATGCACTTTTACTGGACACAGCCTAGAGCGGGTCTATACATAACTTGAGTTATTTTGGGCATCTATAGGGTTTTATAAATTTTTAATTTAAAAAAAATAAGTAATGCGCAATATGGAGAATATATAAAAATACGATTTTTTTAATTCTCTGAATGTTGTAGCGCTAGAACGTCTTGAGCGATTATGGGAATTAGAAACAGACTAAAAATAAAAACACAGCATACTTCAAAATACTCTATGTAGTTTACGCGAGTAGTACACATTTAAATAAAACACTGTAACGGTTTAAAATGCGATTAGATAATTGTTTTAACTTAACTGATAACAGCTGCTGCAAAGCATCCGAAACGTCGAGCCGTAGTTAAAATAAATATCAAATAAGTTAAACTAAATATATCGCATTTTGAACCGTTAAAGTTTTTTACTTAAAACAGGATACTTTTATTAGAAATCTATTTCCCAAACCCAAGCAATTAAATGTATATCTTTGATATAGAATGTGTTATTCAAAATGGTTACATTAATATTAACATTTTACACCAATCTCCTTATCAATTTCCAAGTTATTCCGTGGGTATGACATCCTACACTACTTCACACTCATGCCGTAGTCATTAACGAGCTAAATACGTTGACATCACGTAAATAAACTTACAATTTACACGTACAATAACAGTTACATTAAAAAAACAACACTTAATAACGATGTCCGCGATTTTTTATGTAAACGGCAACACCGACTACAACCATAAAATCATAAATGTATGACGATTAAATTAAACTAGTTACTTACGCCGGCTTTCGCTGTAAATAATAGAGATGCATACCTGTGGACAAAATAAGCGGGTTAAATTAACTTGAAAAAGTGTTTTTTTTAAATAATAAATCATTTGCGTGATTTATTTATTACTAATCAGTAAAACATCGTTTCCCTGTATGCAACAAGGACTTACATGAAGTTAGAAGCCCTACTTATGAACTTTTTCCCCTTTATTTGAACCTAGGAATTGTAAATCTTAATGCTTACGCGACGCGTTTGAGCACTGCGCTACGGAGACGGTCTTCGTGGACGAAATAAGCGGTCTTAATTAACTCGAAAAAGTGATGTGTTAAAATAATAAATCATTCGAGTGATATCGTGGTCGTGTAATGAATAATGAATAATGGCGCGTCCGGTTAGTAAAGAGTCCTAATTGAACGAATATAAAGATAGTTATCGGAAGGCGTGGGAAAAACTCTGGCACCTATTACGATTCTACTAATATGGATTATCTATGAAACGGGAAATGTGAGCTTTGTCATTTCTGTTTAGTAACATTGAAGAAAACAAAGTGTATTATCCGAAATCAAAATGCCGTATTTATATAAACCATTTTTAACGGTTTAAAACTTCAATATCATTCACAGTTTATTGCACATGATGGCAATATGGGTATAAATAAAAATTGAGACGACAAATTGCGTGAGAGGTGCATGTATAAATAAGCTGACAAAAATCGACTATGACGTGTAGGACTCGGTAGCTGAATTGGTTAGAGCAACAGCGCGGAACGCTGACGATGCCGGTTCAAGTCCATCCCGAGTCGTAATTTTTTTTTTTAATTTTTTTTCGATTTTTAATTTTTTTGGTTCAAAACGCGGGGCGTCCGAAAGATAAGACTGGTGCAAAGCATTCGACACATTAGGTCGTTGATAACTAATTTATTCCTAAGTTTACGTAATTTTTCTATTCCTACTCACGTAAACTACAGTCAATTAACAACATTTAAACGATATTCAATCGTAGGTAAGGCACATCAATAAAACACAATCCTAAGTAGGAAAACCTGGTTTTAGTATACCGGTATAATTTAAATTTGACGGCGATGTCACAGCGCAGAATTCCAAGGCATACCGTTAAAGATTATCACAATCGAAAAGATTTATATTTTAATTTCTATCTCGAAATCTTGTCCACGGTTTCATTTATTTTTGGACCCGACAATAAAGAGGTGACGTTACATAAGGCTTATTTAGTGATTTATTCACGAAATACCGATTCTACTAAACACCGCCCACGCCCGCCAGATATAAATCATACGACGACTCAAAAATGCCAACTTCGAAAACACGCTGCCCCGGCGAGTACACGCACGGAAAGACAAGAAAAACAAACTTAAAAAATAAATTACTTTTGTGTACCTTCCTTCTTTCCCGTTGGACGCCGAAGTCATAAATCACAGAAAGATAAGCATAAAAAGATTGTATGAGCTACACGGCACAACTCAACTTTTCGTACCGGTGCTGATATAAAAAATCACCTATTCTTTGTTTTCGCTCCAAATTCAAATGTAGATAAGACACTGCACAAGACAACTACCAAACAATAGGTAGTTTATTACGAATAGGTTAACTTCTTAATCACGACATTTCGGATGCTTTGCAGAAGTGGGACTGTAGGTAAAAAAGTAGCCAACTAACATATTTCGTGTTTTAAGCCATTAAATGTTTTTATTAAATGTGTAAACACTGTCTGTAGCTTTAAAAAAAATACTTTAACAGTTTGAAACGCGATATATGTTAGTTAAACTTATTTGAAAATTATTTTAACTACGACTCCACGTTTCGGATGCTTTGAAGCAGCCGTGGTCACTGGGAGACTTGGGGTAGACACGCAGTTAAAATAATTTTTAAATAAGTATACGTAATATATATCGCGTGTTAAACCGTTAGTGTTTTATTTAAATGTGGACTACTCGCGTAAATAACTATGAACCTACACGATATAGACATTTCATATAAATTATATAAGTAGTAGGCACACATTCAAATAAAACGGTCTAAAACGTTAATTGTATTAGTTAACTTATCTACAATTTTGAAATACATTTCACTTTTAAACCGTTAAAAGTCTTTGTTTAAATGTGTCCTGCTCGCATAAAGTACAGACATCACAAAAGCAGTACGTAGCTTCGCTCTCTTTCGGGCTTTGCGACCACGACACTAATACACCTATCGCGAGATAGAAAAATCCTAAATCAACAGCAGTGACCTGCGCGCTTAACAAATTGCCGCCATGTACCACCGCATGAGAGGCCATTTGTCAGCCGGCACTATACGAGCGCCTACTGAGCAATTAGATTTGTTAGCTTGTACCCGAGCAGCATCACGCCCCCGCTCAACAACAGATGCTTGGACTAATAACCTCTCGAAGTTTCCCTTCAACCCCTCGCCACCCGCCGCTCCTGAGCTACCCCAGCCTCCCCCGACCCAACTAAGATAGATTGCGCCACCATTCTTGCAATTTTCTTGTCGTATCTTGCCTCGTAAATTCCTCGTGATATATTGGTTCGGATCTCTCGCGATGCGACCGGGAGCATACTCGAAATATGATAAGAGTTATTTATTATTGTTCTTATTGGTACCGAGGGGTCCTATGTAAAAATATCCCATTATGGGGTGCGACGTTGTGTATTGATAAAACGCATCGCGTTAATACGAATCGAACGCGCCCAAAGCTAAGCTGTAAATCAAATGATTCACACAAGTATTCAAAACAAACAGTTGATTTATATTCGAAGCGAAAACGAATTAAACTTAATAATAACAGCGGGATCGTACAGTAAACAGAGTTCGTCCGGAATACCGCGTTTCGAAATAAAATAAGGGAATCTTCATTAATTTTGCGCCAAATTAAAAACACTCGAGCCGCTTTCCCTGCAGCAGGCGCCTCAATTTCCATATTCTAATAGCAATAAGTTTTATCGTCGCCATCTGATGGCAATCGTAATTACGATAGAATTGTTGGTTAGTTGCTCATTAAGGCTTCGTTTGATTAATTAGAATTTTAGGCAAATACATTGAAAATATATAAAAATGTATCACTTCAGTTTATAGTTCGTGAATGTTCTCTTTTTTAATTATGCTGTTAGTTTCAGCTGTCTTAATAAAATATGAACAGTTTAGTCATGTGAAAAATATAAGCTTTAAAGGTGACCAGAAACGAAGTATTATGTTAAATTTTACATATATTTTATTAACAAAACACACGATGTCAATCAGTAGGTATGTGATATTTTTAAGTAATTGTATATCGAAATAATTGTGAGGTATCTATATAATTGTGATCAATATATAAGATATTTAATATTTTTTATATATAAGAAATCGAAGCAAAAGTAGCTTATCAACAGGATCGCAAAATCCAAGTACCGTTAGCTCGAGGAGCGTCAAGCTTCGTAAGCGATTACGTAAGCTATACACGTACAGGTACGATCTATTAAATTCTCTTGCTGTAGGACTTTCCCAGTTCAATGCAGCGTACTTTCCCTTTTACTTCAACTTTGTCATTTAGGACTAACTAAATACAATTAAGTATTTGGATATAAGGTTCGCGTACCGACTTACTCATCTCAATAAAAATTTCGAATACAAATATATAAAAAATAACGACATTTTTCGTAGTGTAAGTAACTAATTTCATTTATATATAGAACAAGCTTATTCAGTTTCGAATACATTCCATATTTAAAAATATATTTTTTTTAAATCATATCCATATAAAAAAAATAATGTGTGACTATTTCTTTGAGGGCCGATCACTTTGTCAGCACCCTATTTCAGGAATACTCCATTTAAATGTTTATTAGCAATAATAAAAACATTTCAAACACTAAAACGTTGAAGCACTGCGGTATTTTTTCAGCGGTCGATCACGAAACTCATAACCTTAAGAATGCAAAGGACGCGAAACGATTTTTAATACACCCCGCACCCCATTATGGATGTTCTAACACCCCTAGCGTTGACATTTGAAATTCGAAGCTCTATGAAAAAACAAAGCTCGAAACATTATGCAAATGGCATTATGTTCGTATTTTTGTACGTTTCGCCAATTTTATGAGCCGGATAGAAAAGGGTTGCAGGGGCTAAGATCCCGTTGTGTAGAATAAACTTTTCGATTGTCTATCGCGGTTTATGTGGTGAGAATAATTAACTCGCTGATATTATGTAGAGGCGAAGTTTTTATTGCTCAGTAATTGCGCAGCATGTTCAATTTTATTTTAACTCGTGTTTCGGAGTGACTAAATTGGTTATGCTCCGTTCGCACTAGGGCACAGTTATGTCGCAATTTCCGGCTTTTGTTTTGAAGCACCGGCTATTGGCTTAATTTGGTTCAGCTTTAAGATGCCTACACGTGCTTAAGGCGTGTACTTAACGTACTTATTTAATGGAATCATTACTTTAAGGCTTCAATTAAGAGATGTTTTAATCGCGTTATTCTGGGACACTCAATTAAAACTGACATGAGTTGTGCCGTTATAAAACGTTGTATTGTATGTTGTTTACGCCACTAGTACACTTTTTAGTATTGGTTAACAAATTTCAATTTACAATTTTTCTGAAACATGTTGGTCTGGAAATGTGGATATTAAATGGATGGTAGAGTTATCGAAAATTCCGTCCGGGTACAAACTACCGTCCACTAATAAAAAACCGTGAAGTTTAATCGCGATTTGGTATCAGTCTGTGGCTTTCCGAATATCCAAAACCAAAATAGTTCGATGGCGCATCTTGTGTAGATGTTATATGGCTTCGGTATTTTACTTCCTATCATGTTTGTCTGTCCTCCTCTATGATTAAAAAATATTTACAATTCGCATTTTAAACCTTTATAAATGTCGTATACAATTTGCTTCGTGTATATGTTATCTTTATTAGTTGATCTAGGTTATCTCTTCTTTACCAGATTCCATCAGAGATTTGTCAACCATGTTGATAAGTGGTTTCCTCAATTCCTAGCGATACTGGAGCGATTGTCGATTGCCTGGTTTTAGGTCATCCGACTATAAGTCTAGATCCTAAATACTTTAGTCAATATGGTTGAAAGACGGCTGGATACTACAAAAGTTACTCAAAGTAAATATTACAAAATTAACAGTAAATGGCCAAACTAACAGAACTTAGTATTTATTTATTTCGTACTAGCTGTGCCCGCGACTTCGTTCGCATGGAATAGTGACTTGGGGTAGAATTTTTAGTTATTTAGGCTGTTCTTTTTACTTTATCTAACTGCGCATTTATCGCAGCCAATCTATGTTGTAAGTGCTACTTTGCCGCAAAACTCTCACTCCCACCCCCACTCCCACGCCCACTTCTATTCCCAAAAAGCCAAAGAAGAAAGTTTCATTGTTCAAAAACCACGAATTTCCATACAAACTTTAGCCCCCCCCATCCCCCCCCTTTTAACCCCTTACAACCCCTTTTTCTCAGGGTCTAAACCATCTATGTGTACCAAATTTCATTCAAATCCGTTCAGTAGTTTTGGCCTGAAAGAGTAACAGACAGACAGTCAGACAGAGTTACTTTCTCATTTATAATATTAGTAAAGATGTATATTAAGTAATGAATGTAAACATTTTAGTACTGTTGTATATATATTTGTATTTAAGTGTTTATACGTAATAATTTTCTTAAAACAACATCGCTATATAAGTTATTGTTAAAATGGTTTTCAACTTAAACCGTCAGTAGATCGACTCTTCACAATATTTCCCAGTTCATTTTTTAAAAATCATTGTCGTGTCGTGTTGTGTGTTAAATCTGTCTTTTCAAAATATGTAAATAAAAGTCCTATATCTCGAACGGCTTAACTTAATCTCATGTATGATATTCAAAACGCATCGTCGTGCATTTCAACGTGTTTTTGCATCGCTCATAGCCGACACGGCGGATTCTAATCAAAATTATCATGCAATTTCAGTTCAAACAAAACGTGTTTAGCCGACAGAATGAGTTATGAGCCGCATAAATATTACAAAGACTTGAAGGGACATCGTACATACAAAATGAATAAGCGTTTAAAATGTTCAGTCTTTTGAAAACTAATAGACAGATCAGTCTAATTAAGTAAGTGTGTATGAAATCTTTCTGTCCCCGTTTATATATTGGATTTACAGACAAGTTGTTAGTCAGGCTTACCTTGACTCCGACCGAAATTAAGTCAGTAGGGATTTATTGTTTTTGGTATTCGAACCCACGACCTGCGATTAACGTAAAGCATCCCAATCTGTTTAACCTGTGAAACACAAGGACGGTTACACTTTAGCATTGTGTAATATAATTGTTTATAAGGTCTACAACCAACATAAGTTGACAGCACCGTTAAACCGTAATTAATAGTTAAAAAACGTTTAGTAGAACTAACCGAAATTAATTCTACTAATAATACTTGTTGAATAAATAGAGATAACGTTAGAAAACTTAAATATTTTTCACATGTTATTTCATTTAAAGAATTAGATAGATTAGATTAGAAGAAAATGACGACACGGCCGGGATGTGAACCGGTTCACAATATGTAAGTGAAATAAGAAATATGTGTTGAAATAACATTGTTTGAGAGGTGCATGTACCAGTGGGTTTAAGAAATTTTACAATATCTGGTAAGACATGATAGCTCAGTGGTTGGTAAGAGCTTCAGCACTGAGCCCTGTGAATGCCGGTTCCAATCCCGCCCCTGTCGCAAATTCAAGCTAAATAGATTTTGTAATTAAAATATACGTGAACGAAATAAGGTTACCGCATAACAAAAGAACCGCGCATAAATATTTTCCGATTTCAAAACAGCATTATAAAATTGAATCAACTTAATAAAACAAAGAAGACTTCAAAATAGTGGACCCGCGAGTCTGTTGGATTAGACAGGTATTTGTTAATGTTATATTCATGTAATCTTTGGAATCTTAAGTGGTCCGGATTTGGTTTTGTGATACGTTAGACTCTGCTATGGTTTAACATGCGAATTGTTTCGGTATTTTATCTCAAGGAAATAAAAACATTATCAATATTCATGTATAAATAAAACACTTACCTTTTAAATAAGTGTAACTAATAAATTTTGCGTTTTAAACCGTTAAAAGTGTTTTATTTAAATGTGTAAACTAAAAACAGTATACGTAAGATCTATGTAAGTATTTTTTTGAACGATGATTTAACGATATAAATAAGAAGCACCATTTTAATAAAACAAGTCTAACACCATTTAAAAAATCCATTTTAACATTTCTGAGAATCGAATTCAAGACTTTTCATACTATAGAGAGAGAAACAAGCCTGTTATATATGCGAGGTCTAAAAATCAGATAAAACCAATAAAAGGGTTTAATGTAGACTAAACGATTGTAATATAGAGATGTACTCTTTTATTTTTTATACACATAATAAGGATTAAAAACCGTATGTAAGGATATACTACGGTACATACAAAAGTCTACAACACAC